TTGTTAAGTTAAAATTAGCTGGTAAGTAGGGTCAAGTCGCATCCCAGACTGACATCTCTACATTCTGAAAATATGACATTCTTGTAGATATTTTTTACCAAAGAAGCAATTTTATACACTTTGCAAATATTCCTCCCAGTCGGTCCCCATCTCTACTCCCGTCGTTGGCTTTTGGTGTCTTAAAGATGACGAATCTCTATAATATTGTATTTCATATATATTCTTCGTATCTTTAAAGATCTTTAGAGAATCCTTCTTCTTTTTTTCACACGTATATGTGTGTGGGTTTTAAGTAAAGAAGTTTGACATCGTTCGGGTCTACCCTGTATGGTTGTGTGGCTTGGTAACTGCACAAACTCGCCTCGCTCAGGTGATGCTCTGGAGCAGAAGTACAGTTAACCCTTGAACATGGGGAGTAGGGGCCCTGACCCCTCGAACAGTCAAAAATCCACATCTAGCTTTTGACTCTATGGTTGGCCCTTTGCATTTGTAGATTCAACCAATCACAGATCACAAACAGTATTTTCAATTCAAGGTGGGAATCCGTGCTTGGGAATGCAAAAATACTGCTTTTGATTCACAGTTGGTTGAATTCCTGGATGCGAAGGGCCGAGTGTACTTATTGGAAAATTCCGTGTGTGAGTGGACCCGTGCAGTTCAAACCCATGCTGTTTAAGGTTCAAGTGTGTCTACCAAACCACGTGCCCTAGTGTGGAGTTAACCCGACCCGAAAGAAGGGGCATTTTTTTCTAATTTGCCTAAATTTATCATGTCTCAATAAGCCATGGGCCTGCATGGAGATCCTAGTGTGGATGTGCGGGTGAGCGCACACGCGCGTGCGTGTTCCTCCTTCTAGTTTCCGTAAAGGCATCCTATGAATAAAGGTTCTGATGACGTTGTGATCTCTTTGTTCATCTTTTCCCTCTGGTGTCTGTTCGGCTCTCGAGAAGCTATGAGTTACAGAACTAACCAGCCTCACATCAGCCTCCTGGGTGTGCAGACAGTATTTTGGCTTCTGCACATTCTGAAACCAAAGAGAACCCATGAGCCCTTCCAGACTGGATGTGAGTGCTGGATCAGGGCTGGTGTGATGGGCTTGGGTGTCAAGGATGATTTACTCAGTCTGATCTTGTCATGTTATGTTTTACTTGGAAATATAGTCTGTTTATAAAAGAACTTTTGGAAACCTGAGTGCCTCGAAAGCTTTGACCCATGTTGCTAAAACTGGTTAGCTTCAGATTCCTGCATTGAAGATCGTCTACTTAAAAAAACCAATATGGAAGGCCATATCTAGAAAATGAATCTCTATCCAGTGTCTTTGATTAACCAAAAATCCTTGCCTTTTTTCGATTTCACCCAAGGATAAGATTTTATTGAACTATGAAAACTTCAAACCAATTTTTTATACAATAGACTTTACCTGTCTACTCTGCTGCTTGAAATTATGTTTGTAAAAACATAATCTTCTACCCCTTTCTGAATTTTTGCTCGTGACTATGTGTGTGTTTTTAAGTCAAACCAGTGTTGTTCCTAACTAGAAATTTAAATTGCATCTGCTGCATTTTTTTTGGTACACACTAGGGGATATATTTATGTAATACATGTAGCCAGCCAGGATATTTTTCATAATTTCGACATAACATTTTTTCATAAAGTGCTATTGATGAGACTTTATAAAAACTGTGCAAGAATGTGCACAAGCAGTCATGTAGCTAAGGAGAGACCTCACCCCCCAAAAAGATTCCTCGAATATATTTTATTTATTTTTTATGGAGCAGGGAAACATTTTTCTCTCTGTCTTGTGCTATATATACTTTCGTATGCTCTCCCTTAGAACATATCCTCACGTAGCCTCCCAGATATGCGTTGTTGGAAAGTGAAAACAATCTTACAAATTGAGATATTTCATTAAATTTCAATGAGTTAATTAAGGAAACTCATTTTCAAAGATATACATTTATTTCAGCAGCTTGAGTGTTGCTTAATCAGGAAATGACCGGAATACTAAATACTAAAAGGCGGATTGTGCTCGTGTTGATGAGCAGCTTTGAGAGTGACTGTCAAAAGGGACGATGACATGGAGGTTAAACCAAGGGCCCAGAGGCCCTTGCTGTGGGTGGAAACTAATTGGCTGAAAACATGAATAAGTTATATTTGTTATTCACGACAAGGAAAAACTAAGACAGAGGGACAGATACTTGTATCTGCCACAGCATCACGCTCTGTCAGATGATATTAAAAAATAAAAAAGCAGATTCTTAGACTTAAGCTCTTCTTCCTGTAAGCAACGAAGAGGAACAGAAGCTCAATCGCTTGACAGTGCTTTCTTCTGCATATTATAATTCGGGTTTGGCATTTTCAGCCAATAAAATATTGCTAAGGCGTTTGCTACGAAATTCTCCAACGGAAAAGAGTTATTACTGGGGACTCACGTCCTTGGGATTATGTTTGAATGATTTCAATTAACCACCTTTGATTTCAGGGTAACACAAGTCTTCCCTCTTTTCACGGCCCCGAGTGGTGTCTGGGTACCCGCAGCCTATGCACATCGGCCGTGGGGTGACCATGGCCCTGTCCCCAAGACTAAAAGATTCCAGAATGTTATCACGCTGGAATCGTAGATATTGTAGAATAAAATCGTTTACGAACAGATTGATTTTACTTTCCAAACCTTTCCCAAAATCTTTATAAGAGATTTGGACCCATGGAACTTGGAAAATTCTCTAGGGAGCTGCTCTGAGCAAAGTTCTAGCAAACAAACACTTTTTGCCATTTGCGGATCCCATCTTTTAAGCCTTGCCTTGCTATTCTCTGAAGTTTTCTGTCTGTCCTTGGAGGGATCTCTGACTCTCCTTTACCTCCTTCCTTCATCTCGCCTGACACTTGTTTGGATGTCCTTGGGATGTGTTCCAGTGGTTTCGTGAATCGTTCCTAGCTAAAGCATAAGCCCGGGTAGAGTCTGTGCTTTGGGATTGCCCTTAACACGGCAAGTCCCTACAGGTGCTCAGGTAAGTACATTTCTTTGTTTGGAAAGCCTATCAAGAGGCTGAAGTCAAGGACAGTCATATTTTATGCTTACTATGTGGAACTGGAGTGTCAGTGGCAGACACCCAACTGGTCTAAGTCCTGGGTTCAGGGTTCGTGTCTCAGCCTGCTGCTCGATTAACCTCAAGACCTTTGGCGTAGGATTTATTCTCTGTGTCTTGATCTGGGGTGGATTAATCCCCAAATTTCCTTTTAGTCCAGATGTTCTAAGTCAGCGTGAGTGAAGCATAGCAGTAGTCCCCAGATAAGAGCACCAGCATTATCTGGCACTGTTAAAAATGCAGGTGATCAGACCTCACCCCAGGCTACAGAGTCAAAAACTCCACACTTGAACAAACCCTCCACGTGTCCCATTGCACGCTAGAGTTCAAGAATGACCGACGTGCAGTGTCGTCAAATCCTTGGTATCGTGAGCAGCTACATTCTATTATCTCAGTGGACGCTAAGGATCAGGCAGTCATCTCGTGGCTGGCATTTAAATCCAGTATCTCACGTTTCATCTTTAAGGCTCTGCAGAATGGCTCACTGTTGCATCAGATTCAGGTTTACAGGGTACTGCAACCCACAGAATTGCAGCTCTCGAGCTCCTATAAAGTGCTGGCCATTGAGGGGTGAAAAATCTTTCTGAGGGTGAACAAAGAATCTGCAGTGAACAAGGGATTAATTTCCAGCAGCGGCCTCCTAATTTTGCATTCATAACACTGTACTTATGCTAGGCTACACTTGCAAAGTCTGCTGATATACATTAGGTAATTGGACAGCTGGCAGCCCCATTTGTATGCAAAGGGGGTTGCACACCTCCCATTTACAAGTCTGAAATTAAAGCCACTTTGAAGCTGGCTGAATGCTCCCTGCTAGGAACATAAAGAGATAAGGAAGAAATGACTTCTGTTAGTCGGCACTTTTGGCCTCTACTGCTCGGTCTTTGCTAATTTGTCCTTTGAAATTGTACATTCTGGGTTGAAGAGGGACTTCTAAGAGTACCTGGTTTTTTTTATTTTTAAGAAAAACCTACATTTATAAGCCGTGGTTACCCCAACACTGTAACCACATGTATACTGCAGTCTGTCGCTGGGCTGTATTTTTGCTCTATGAACTATTTATGTTCTTGTGGGACCATATCGATCATCTGAAAGAAGAGACACCCAGCACAGACTCGCAGCCTGCGTCTTGGCATCGTTTCATTTTAATGCGGCCCACATTCATCAAGCCCCTACTTCGCACCGTGCCAGGGGCTGGGACTACACAGACCAGTCGAGCACAGTTTCTGCCCTCAAAAGCTCTCAATATTTTAACAGCTTCTTGACGTCTCAGAGTTGAATATTTTGGTGGGAAGGAAGTCTTCCCTGATATCCCATGAATCGAAATGACTTCTTGCTTCTTTGAACTTCTGATCACACTCAACCGGTGTCCGAAAGAGAATGAGGGACCCAGTGGCTCCATGCCGGGAAGAATCAAAGCCTGAAAGCACAAGACTATAACCAGCCGGCCACTCAGACGGGTCATCAAGGGGAGATGGCTGCATCGCAAATGGCCTGTGTTCCCAGATTGTGGAGACGAAGAATGCATGCGTGTTTCTTGTACTCCCAGGGAGGGTCACAGGGAAGAGAATGCCAGTCTCAAGCTATTCTCAAAGAAACTTTCCCGTGATCACTGCCTAGAGGAACAAGTTGCTGCAAAGACAATTTACCAAGAGCCAACAGCAAAGCAGTCACTTGTCACTCCTCATCAACTGCTTTATATCCCATAGTTGGCCATGTACATTTGTTTCACGTGGACAATGAGATTGTAAGCGTCTGGAGAACAGACCTGAGTCTTAAGAAGACTATCTTTGATACTATATATTTGATGGCGATGATAGTAAATACAGTCTGTTAACAGGAAGGACGTCTGGTGGTTTGTAGGCATTGGTAGTTTCCTGTGATAATAAGCAATGTTTTTCCTCTTCATTCTAGCACAGGCGCATACACCTTGATAACACCAAATGAAACCCGAAGAAACCAGCTACAGAGAAGTACGTATATTTATTCTTTAAACATTCAGAAAGCTTCTCATTTTCTTATAGAGTACAATAGTTTGTTTTGGTCTGAAGTATTTTTATTTTCTGATTTGAGAATACTCACCAGATCTCATCAAGTTTTTTTTTTTTTAAATTTATTTAACTTTAGCAGTTTTAATTATACCTTTTAAAAGTATTCTATTGTTAAATTTGTTTCTCTGTGTTAATAGCAGAACTCACAGCACGATTGTAAATCTCAGATATGCGTTGGGCTTAAATGATTTCGCAGCAGACCCATCTCGTTCCTGTAAAGTTGGGCTAATTGCAGAGATTTTTACAGGTCTATGAATACTTTTGAAATAGACAAGTTAAATACTTGAAACAATTATGTACTTGAAATAATTTGTCCCTTTCTTGATACGTTCTATCTTTTCTTAATGGAATTCTTTTTAAGCCTCTGAGCTCCCATAATTATTCAACTATTGCGGTCTGCTCTTGGCTATTTTTATTTGTGTGCAGTAAGTAAGAACACTTAGCATTGTTGACAAGTTCTGTGACTTTAAGCAAAATAACAGATAGTAAAGCCGATTCTACCACAGGCTGATTGATAGAAGCGAGAACTAAGCCCCCTCGGCATCTCATCAACTTGATAATGAAACCGCATTATTGGGGGATCCGCTGTGCTTCTGTTTCCTGCCCTAGATGATCCCTTCTTTGAGGACGGGGACCTTGCCCTACTCATTTTTGTGCTCCTTGTACCTCGTGGGGGTATAGCATGATTAACTGAAAAATTACAGTAAAATAAACGCTGTCATTAAAGTTCCCGCCTGATACGTTAAGCGTTGGAAGGAGATCTAAAGTTAATTTAGTTCAGAAAGAAGTTATGAGGCTTGTTCCAGTCAAGTTGTGGGCCTCTCTCTGAGATCCTATGCTCTCCTTTATTAGATCTCGGTAGGAAAATTAATTTTGTGACTCATGACGGACGTAAGGGCACAAGGGGAAATCAGCTCTGCAAAGGGTCTCCACCAGACAGGCTCCCCCTGGTGGCAACGCTGGGTCAGTGCAGAATATGACAACCGCTGCTTTGCCAAGTGGCCCCTATCAGCGGTTGACCAAAGGAATCCCAAATGTTTTGGCATTTCACAAGCTTTTTATTTAAATACCTAAGTCTCAGTGTGGTCTTGGGTTTTTTTGAGATGTTTAAGAAGATTTTTTTCTCCTCTAACAATAAAAAATGTTATAAATGGACATTTGGAACAATCAGGTCTAATGGGGAGACTCGGGCAGGCGATGGAAGTACAGGACGAGTTTCTCTGGCACTCCCTGCTGTCACTCACAGTGTGTCTTTGGGGGATGAGCGCTGCCGTCCCAAGAGCCAGCAACCAGAGCAGGGCTGCCCACCCGTAGTGCCCACCCTCACATCCTAGAGCTGCACTCATCTTGGGGACTATTTAAAATAATGAATATGGCATCAGAATGACTTGGGAACATATGTTTACCTATGTGTGAAAAGTTCTTATCGACACGAATAGTCTCGTTTTGCAAACATTACAGCAAACTCTTAAAGTTAATTCGACATAGAGTTTTAAGGATGCCAGAATGGGAAGAAAGACTGAACTCCTTTTAGTAGGAGTTCAGCTTGTTTTCCCGGTTCGAGCCTCCTGTGCAGACTCTCGGAGAGAAAGCGCCCCGGGGTGGGCCTAGGGTGAGCCTGGGGTGGGCCTAGGGTGACTCCGAGGGTTTGGGTCTGCATGCTGTCCTTTCCAGGGTATCTCGTCCACTCACGCTTGAATGTAGCTAAGCACCCTCCGAGGATTGCTTCTTATGCTTTAAAGGGCCCCGTTTCCTGTTTCACATTCCGCTCGTTGATGATTTGGTATTTCTCACTGGCCTTAGTTGCGGAGAAAGAAATGGAGAACCTGGAGAGGTGGAAGGAACTACACAGAGCGAAGCCGGTGAACCTGGTGCCCAGGCGGCTAGGTGAGCAAGGCCAACCGGCTGCCTGAAGGCGGGGGACGGGGCCACTTAGGAACCTCGCCTAGGTCTGTCTGCATGCCTTATAGGTTTTTGGGTCGCTGTGCATTGAAAGTCGAAACACTCACGTGTGCAGGTATATTGTTGCTTCTGATTTTCTGCAAGTAGCAGATGTAGGATGCCACAGTTATATGGAAGTAAAGTCATGGCTTAATTGCTCAATAATTTAGAGCCTCTTAGATGGTCAACTGAAGACAGCTTACCTGGGGTGCTGCACGTGCCCTGGCATAGCACTGGTCAGGATGGGAGTAAAAGCTCTCACAAGTGTGTTAATCACGGCATTTAAATGCTAATGGGAAAAAAATGAATGGAGAGTTGATTCCGAAACTAAGATGGGAGTGAGCTGGGGACCCAGTGGTGGGTATGAAGACAAATGTCCCCTGTGTTTTTGTTCTGCAAATAGAGACCTTCGGACCCCTCGGAGCCAGCGTGATGGGTCTGTCTGGGCTGCCTTTGCGCAGGGTTTGAATCATTCGATGGGGAGGCCACCTCGTGGGAGTCACTCAGCCCTTCCTTCCCGTCCCTTAGCAGCAGCTAAGAACTTAAAGGGCTGGGTGCACGGTTTCCACATTTTGGGCTAATGCAAATGTGTCTCTCGTCAGGGGCCACTTACTATCGTGATAGCTTTAGAGAAATATTTTTTTCCAGGACATAGATAAAAATAAGCTAATTTGGAAATCATTTGATGAGTGGAAGTAATAGTGTTATCACCATCACCCCACTTCATTTCATGAAAGGGGTTTATCTCAAACGTCACCTTTATGCTGCATAAGCCAGGTTTGAGGGGTGTGACCAGGAACCGGCTTTGTCCTTCCTAACTGGCCCCTTCAAACTGGCTCTGTGGGACTACTTTTTTCCCATAATCTTTGGTTGGAATTAGATCTTTTTGGTCTTTCTCAAATAACAAAGTTGTTCAGCCAAATCTAGGCATAAACGGGGTCATTTCAGTGAGTAACATTCAGCCCTAACTGCTTGTGCAAACTGTTACGAATGGACATTAAAACTCCCTCCGTGCCCCACTCCAGGTCCATTTCGAGTAGAAAGCTGGCAAAGGAAATGGGCGGGGCGTAGCTGAATTCTCCGTTGACTCCTCTGTTCCCAGACTCTGGCCCCTCCAGGGTCAAGGGGAGAAGGGGCGATGAGAAGTAGGGGCCCGTTGTGCACCGATCCCAGTGTCTTCAAGTCTCGTATGTGCTTACTGTGCATTCTCCGCCCTGGGGTTCCTGGAATTCTGCAAAGTCCCTCCTTGCCCGCCATTCATCTTAAAAGCACCTGGATTTCCCTGGCGGAGATGGTATGGTTTCCTGCATCGCCATTGGCTGCGATGGCAGACTCTCTCTCTGTAGGGCTCCACAGGTGACTCGCATGGGTAGATCCCTGGAAGCCAGCTTTAGGTTGGCATTCTCTTTCATGACAACCAGATTGGGAGGACAGGAGACACTTGATCATCCTTTCTTCCCACAGACTCTGGGAGCGCAGGTCACTCGCCATGCAGCCACCTCTTCTTGATGACCCATCTGAGTAGCCAACTGACAACAGCCTTTCGGCTTTGACTTGTCTAGGTGCGGTCCCTCAGTCTCCTAGGGACACAGACTGAGGTCTCCAAGTGATTTTCATTGAACCTCTCCCGTCCATCTTGACGCGAAGTTGCCTCCTTCCCCAAGCACAGAGGAGATGGTATTCACGGAGCCATCTTCCCCTGGCTTCTGCCCCGTGTTGACCTAGCCAGCCCCTTTTACAGGCTGAAGGTCACTGCTAGTCAGGATTCCCCAAATGGGTTCAGTTGCCCCCTGGAAGATCCTGCTTAAGGAGCCGAGGAACTTGCTTTGGAATTTGGAACAGTTGGTGCCTACCATCTTGGGAACTTAGAAACAAACAGTCTCATTTTTGACAAATCTGGGAATGGCCAAGGATATGTGTGTGGGAAGAAGAGCTGAGGGAGTAGGAAAAAAAATTCTAGAATGTATTAAACTTTGAGACAATTTTTTAACAAAACCTGTGAACGCTTAGCCATCTGACTTTCTCCATTCATTTTTATTCTCAACTCTTCCCCTATTCCTCTATCCCTTAAAATATTGGAGTAGGGTGAGGAGATCCTGAAAGCGGCTGTAACATTGGGTAAAAGCTTCGGTTACCGTCGCTGTTCCTTTCTCATCCCCCACCCCCTACAACAGAGACCGAAGGGCCGGAACCAGACAGACTTCCTGTCTCCTTGGGGACTCAGAAGAGAGGACTCCGTGATGTTTTTTTATCAGTTCAATTATAAAAACCACAGCGAATGCAGATTGTTTTAATGCCTCTCCCGTGGGAGTGAATCTTTCTGAGAACTGACACTTTTAGTGACCAAAACACCGGAGAATCATTTCAAAGGGATCTTTATAACACATCCGCCAAGCTTGCTAAACACCGAGAAATCCCCAAACGGCGATTCTTAGATGATTGTCAAGCTGCAAGGATTTCTGGCCCCAAATTATTTGGGGTTCAAGAGAAAGCAGGCAAATAATATGACGTTCATATTTTTCTATTGAATACCTAAACAAAGAACAATAAATAGTTTAGACTAACAATCAATTACTAGCTGGACCAGTCCCATTGTGCTTTTAAAAACGGGGTTATAAAGACTACATGTTTGTCTAGAGACAGGAGCACAGAGTTTCCTGAGTTTTTCACTTGAATTTAGGGCAATTGAGTCAGAAGAAGAAGAACAATTGAAGCATCACTGATTATTATCTTTATTAGGTTAAGGGATGGTCACACCTAAGCGGGAAGAACGTTCTAGAATGTCCGAGGAGACAGGCACTATTTCTTATTATTTAGTATGGACCTTCAGGTATGATTTCAATCTAAATGAAAACTTGAATGCCAACATGACTCAAAAACTTCAGTAGGGTCGTCTCGTTCTTTCTTGAATATGGCCTTATCTTTCTGGCTAGCTCTGTTTCTCTTTTAAGAAATTACCATTCTTTAATGTTTTATTAAAAAAAAAAAAGCTGGTTATGTCCTTATTTCTAGAGGCATGAAGATGTTAAAGAAACTCATGGTCAACTCATCATATATTAATTAGTTTTTGATGGCTGACATTTAAGCTTGACATTCATGTTTCACCTCCATGATGTGTGTTTTTTGTTGTTGTTTGTTTGTTTGTTTTTGCCTTAGGTGGAAGCCAATCAGAGGCTGAAGTCAGGCAGAAACAACAACTCCAACTGATGCAATCTAAATACCAGCAAAAGGTCAGAATCCACCTTTTTCAGTTTAATTCTGGCAAGGAATTTGAACACCAGCACTTTCTAGTAACCAGGAAATAATACAGTAACTTCACGAAAAGCATAAAATGTTTAAACCAATTGCAAAAGGAAACTCTCAGAATCAAAGAAATTAGGAAGTGGTAAGTGAAGAGATAAAGATCTAGAATTCTCATCCAAGCCATGTATTAGTCAGCGGGGCCCTGATTAAAGGATTTCTTTTTTCTAGATTAAGTTAACTCTACTATGTTTGGAATATTTTGGCTCCGACGACATGGATTTGTTTACTTGATAACAGTTGTGAAAATGGTACCAAAAAAACAAAAAAACAATTTAAGATGCTCGGTGATTTTTACATTCAGCTCTCTGAGTTTTATAATCAGAAAAAATTATCTACCCACCCTCTCTTCACCCCCTACCCCATTTCCTGCAGAGGGTCGGGCGGAGGGGGAGGGAGACAGAGAGAGACAGAGATTGCAGAGGAACTACAAAGAGAAATTTCATGGTCAGGCAGAAGAAGAAGCCTGACTATTCTCTGTGATCTAAGTAGCTTGAAGTAGCAACCTGTGATCGTGGCGAGGTATAGCATAAACAATCCTGTAATTTGCCATTCATTGTAATTTTGTGTTCTAGAAGTTCAGACTGCAACATAATAACTGTTTTTTGTCCTCTATAATCTCAATACAATTTAGCTAAAAAGAGAAGAAGCCATGAGAATCAAGAAGGAAGCTGAAGAAGCTGAAATTCAAAAAATGAAGGCCATTCAGAGAGAGAAGGTAAGACGGTAGAGGGATGAGCAGCTCATAGTCCCCGAGGGCTTATTACATGCCCGGTTCCTTTCTAGACCCGCTCCATAGCCAAACTCATTGAATCCTCACGGGAACACGACGAGGTACAGAGGATTCTTATTCCCAGGTTGGACAATGAGGAAACTGACATAAGGGGTAGGTCGCTTGCTGGAGGGCTCGCAGCCACGGAGTGGACCACGCAGGATTTGCATCCAGGCTGACTCGCCTCAGAGCTGGAGGTCTGAGTCGCCACACTGCCTTGCCCGCCAGCGGGGTGATCGAAGTAGTCGCAGTATATCGACTACGAGGCAAAGCAGTCACAACGGCCATCGCTGGCGCACCACATCACTCGAGACCCAATCGTGACTTTTCCAAGGTGACGCGAACCGGGAGCACGTCCTCTCTTGCTGATAAAGGAGGAAGAGTGCCTTTGCGTTGAACATTAGCGATGCGATCTTTCGGAAGCCTCAAAGTGGTGTTTTTAGTTTTGATGCTCATTCTGGGACTTGGGGGGAAAATCTCTGAAAAATGCTCATCTTCTAGAGAAGAAGGAAGACTATTGTGTTGTCTCCCCACCCTCTCCTCCCCACAAAATTCTAAGCCGTAATAGGTTTTAAGTGTTGAAGGCGTAGGAGCCCGAGGTTGACTCATGATACTGAGTGCCAAGTATGACACCTGTGCAGGTGTAAGTCCTGGGAACAATTCTTATGATGTCTGTCTGTCTGTATCTCTACCTCCCTCCTTCTTTCCTTTCCTCCCCACTCCCACTTTTTTTTTAAAGATTGAGTGTTGGTCACGATTTAAAGCTGGTTAATCAAACGACAGATATTTTTATCAGAGTTAACAAAGCCAAGAGCTGCTGGCTTATGAAATGCAGAGGCCGAGTGAGGCCTTTCTTCCTCCAGGAGTGCTCTACCTGTGGGCGAGCAGACTAAGTGTTTCTCGGAAGGTGTCCTGCTGTGCTGTGTGGCCATGAGCAGGCCCTACCCGTCTCTGAACTATTCCTGTAAAACGAGTCTGTCAGCCACACCTCCCCTTCTCCCAGGGCCCAGGAGCATCTGTAGACTTAGAGATGTTAGAGATGCTACATCTGTAGAGATGTAGGCTCTGGGGAAGGAGACGAGACTGGACTTATACATGTGGAGCTGTAGTGAAATGCTGGAGGTGTAAGAAAAAAGTATAGTAACTTTGTTTACAAAATTTGATTGATCAGCTGTTACACCTTCGTTGTAAACAATTTTCTTACAATAGCTTTTTTTAACCCGTTTTTCTCTCTCATTCTACTTCTCTATTCTCCACTCTCTTTTTATCCAACAATCCCCCACCCCCAATTTTCTCCTTCAAAACAAGGTTCATATTTTGGTCTTGTAATCGTAGAGAAGCGCCCCCTTACAGAGAACATAGTTGGTTTGCTTTGCAGGTAGAGCTAAGAAAATCACTAAACCATCACCAGGAACTGAATTAAGCGGCTTGCAGATCTGAAGAATTACTGTTAAGCAACCTCTTCACCTAAAAGTCATTTATTAGTTGTCATTTAATACCTGTAATTGGCTGGCTTGTGGGTCGTTTATAGCTCACTTCTTCGTAGGTCAAATAATGTATACAATTCAGGAATATTAGTGGCCGAAACAGTTTTCGTTAACATTGAGTGAAAGCATCATTTCTCTCTTTCCGAGTTATACCGTAACGCTCGCTGTATCGCAATTACTAACTAGAGAAATCTTAATTGGGTTGGCTTTTCAAAATAACTGTAATGATTATTAGTATACACTTGTCTGGAAGTGGTGGGGGGTGGGGAGACCGGGTTTATAGGTGGTTCCTTTCCATCGACAGCGTGGCTCCTGAACCAGCAGCATCAGCATCCCATGTTAGAAAAGCAGAATCTCGAGCCCTCGCCCCAGACTTTCTGAACCAGGATCCGCATCGTAACAGGCTCTCCGCAAGGTCCTCGTACATGTAAATGTTCGGGGAGCATTCATCTAAACTACCTTACGAGAGAATGAGCAGCCCCCTGGGTCCTGCCACAGACTTGACGTCTCTGGCTAATTGGCCTGCACTGCCGCCAGAGCCTAGCTCTTCCTACTGTGTATAAATCCGTGGCTTTTCATGCTAAATGGGAGCCTATTTTGTAGCTTGTGTTAGTTAAAAGAAAAATGGACATTAATCATCCAGAAATGGCATACTTCACTTGGCCAGGGTAAAAATGGCCAGGCAAAGCGATAAAGGCTGTGCTTATGGAGCATTCGTCCTTTAAAATGCACAGCAAATGTCCACATGGACACCAGCCTGCGCAATCCTGCCCTCCGCCCCAGGCAGCTGGTTGCTGTCCAGGAAGTCTCCGGGCCAGGTAGAATCCAGGTGGCTTGTCCCATCCCCTCTCCCCAAATCTCTGGCTTGGCCTCTGGTCTTAACCCCATTTCAGTTTGCCCTGGAAGGGTCACCAGGGAACACCGGCTCTCTTTCTGATTGGTCGCCACCTGTGTGTGAGTGAGGGGAGAGGGAACTCTAGTCCCGGCCACACTCGTGGGTGTTCTTTGATCCTTAATAAACACAGGGGTACGGATGGCAACTCGCTCTTTAGCATCTAGTCAGGACGGTGGGGTCCCGGAGGAGTCAGTCCTTTCGGGAGGACACTGGGGTGCTTCAGTCCAATCTGTGTTCCCTGTCCTAGACTATGTGAGCTCTGTACTCTTCCGGAAGCATCACTGGTATAATCAAGATCACCAACGGTGCCCTTGGTTGAAAAACTCCTTGGGGACACTTTCATTCCTAACGTATTTAAACTCCTTGTAGTATTGTAACTATCAAGTGCTCTGTCTTTTTTTTGTTGTTTTTTTACTTTTTATTTTTCAATTACAGTTGACATTCAATATTATATTAGTTTCAGGTGTACAGCATAGTGATTGGACATTTATGTAACTTACAAAGCGATCCCCCAATAAGCCTAGTACCCACCTGACACCACACATAGTTATTACGATATTACTGACTATATTCCCTATGCTGTACTTTACAGCCCTGTGACTGTTTTATAACTGCCAATTTGTACTTGTTCACCCCTTCACCTTTTTCACCCAGCCCCCCAATTCCGTTCCCATCTCTCAACCAGTTTGTTCTCTGTATCTACGAGTCTGTTTTTGTTCTGTTTGTTTATTTATTTTGTTTTTTAGATTCCACATATAGGTGAGATCATTTGGTATTTGTCTTTTTCTGCCTGACTTATTTCACTTAGCATAATACCCTCTAGGTTCATCCATGTTGTCACAAATGGCAAGATTTCATTTTTTATTTTTTTATGGATGAGTCATATACCATTGCATATACGTACCACTTCTTCTTTATTATTTGTCCCGGTCATCTATTGATGGGAGCTTTGGTTGCTTCCATAATGTAGCTATTGTAAATAACTCTGCAATGAACATAGGAGTGCATAGATCTTTATGAATTAGTGTTTTGGATTTTTCCATATAAATACCCAGAAGTGCAATTGCTGGATCACATGGCTCTATTTTTAATTTTTTGAGGAACCTCCAAACTGTTTTCCATAGTGGCTGCACTAATTTACACTCCCACCAGCAGTGCATGAGGGTTCCCTTTTCTCCACATCCTCGCCAACACTTGTTTGTTGATTTCTTGATGACAGCCGTTCTGACAGGTGCAAGGTGATATCTCATTGTTGGTTTAATTTGCTTTTCTCTGATGATTAATGATGTTGAGCATTGCATATCTGTTGGCCATATATGTTGTCTTTGGAGAACTGTCTATTCAGATCCTCTGCCCATTTTTAAATTGGATTGTTTTTTTTTTATGTTAAGTTATATGAGTTTTTTAATATATTTTGGATATTAACCCTTATCAGATATGTCATTGGTGAATGTCTTCTCCCATTTCGCAGGTTATCTTTTTGTTTTGTTGATAGTTTCCTTTGCTGTGCAAATTATTTTAGTTTGATGTGATCCCATTTGCTTACTTATTTTTTGTTCCCCTCACCCGAGGAGACATATCCAAAAAAAAATTAGTAAGAGCAATGTCAAAGAGTTTACTGGTTATGTTTTCTTCTGGGAGTTTTTTTTTAATACTCCTTATATTTAAGTCTTTAATCCATTTTGAGTTTGTTCTTATATAGTGTAAGAAGGTGGTCCAGTTTTATTTTTTATTTTTTTTGCATGTATCTGTCTAGTTTTCCCAACCTCATTTATTGAAGAGACTGTCTTTACCCCATTGTATATTCTTGCCTCCTTTGTTGTATATTAATTGACCATGTAGGCGTGGGTTTATTTCTAGGCTCTCTATTCTGTTCCATTGATCTATGTGTCTGTTTGTTTGTTTGTTTGTTTTTGCCAGTGCCATGCAGTTTTGTTTATTATAGCCTTGTAGTATAGTTTAATACCAGGTAGCATGATATTTCCAAATTTGTTTTTCTTTCTCAAGATTGCCATGGCTATTCAGGGGCTTTATGGTTCCATATATATTTTAGGATTATTTGTTCTAGTTCTGTAGAAAATGCTATTGATGTTTTGATGTGAATTGCGCCGAATCTATAGATTGCTTTGGGTGGTACAAGCATTTTAACAATGTTAATTCTTCCCATCCACGAGCATCGTATTCCCTTTATTTGCATCTTCTCAGTTTCTTTCTTCAGCGTCTCATATTTTTCCAATTAAGCACTCTGTCGTTTAAATTCCACCCCTCCGGAATGCCTCTGGATTCTTTTCTCCACTTGATTTTCTACTATTGATGTTTCATCAAGTTCCAACCCTTGGACTTCTCTAATATCCCTGTGCCTGTGCCACCCCATCCTTAAGTGACAGCCCCCACATTTTCACACTTAAGGAGTTATTTATCGGTTGTGCTGATGAGTTCTGAAATCTATATCCCCAGGCCAGACCATAAACCTGAATCTAGGACCATATAATTTTACTGTATGCTTGATATTTCTCTGTAGATGTTTCACAAGTATGTCTGAAATCAATAGGTTCAAAATCGAACTTATATATTCATTGCGATGCTCTTAAATGAGATTCGTTCTGTTCTCTTCCCTGTTTCTTACTCATCCTATATTGATATAGTCATACCTTCTATTTCGTTTTTTATTTCATTTTATTTTATTTCATTTTTTCATTTTTTTCCCCCTACAGTTACTTCTGTCTCCTACAATTTTCTAGAGTTCATCCTTTCTTCTCTGTCCTGCTGCCTTAATTTGGGCTTCATAAGTTATGGCCTGGATTACTGTGAGAATCACGCCACTGGTTTTTATATGCGTTGTCCATCTTCGGTGATGTTTTTGGAGCTGCTTAAAATAACATAATGGCTTATCATCGCCTTTGATGAAGTCCAAACTCCTTTACCTGGCTTATAAATTCTTTAATAATTATTCCCTTTGCCTTTCTCAACCTCGTCTTCCGCCTCTCTCACTACAAACACCTTTCGATTCATCCAAAGGGGTTTTCGGGGTTTTCTGAAGCGGCATATTCTCTTGTGCCTTTGTTCTTTGAAAATAGTGTAAGCTGTGGTAAAAAACCTTTTCCTATCCAGGGCCACTACTAGCCTTTTGTTGCTTTCACGCATATTAGAAATGATTCTCCATCCAAGCACTCAGTTCTGAGCGTGCTCAGATTGGTGATGGATGGTACCTTTGTGAGAAAAGACACAAAGGAAAACACACCTCTGCTGCACCGAAGAACCCCATGCAAGACCTGGTGAGCTGAGAGCTGGCTCTATTTCAACCTTTCAACCCCTCCACTCGGCCCCCTTGGGCAGTGAGCGACAGGTACAATGCATGCAGTAACCATGCTCCCATTATCCCCTGCTCTTCCTGGGTTAAGACTGGTCACTATCTCAGATTTCTACCTCATTAGACCCATGGTCCTCATCCTCTTATTTGATCCTCAGTCCCCTGGGGAATCTGAAGAAAGCTATGAGCCCATTCATTGTGAAACGAGATTACTCCCACCACACAGCTCATCCATGAACCCAAGGTTATCCAAATGCTATGCAACTCCTTGGCTCCTGCGCCCAAGATGGAGTCTGCCGCTTAGGCACTGAACAGATGCCTGTGGAATGTGGAGAGCATCCCTTGACCACCCACTTCTCTGCTCTTTCTCTGTGTTCGTGTTACAGTATTTGCAAACCTCTGTCTTCTAACATATTTTACTTACTTCCATCATTGCTTTCTTGTCTGTGTCCCCAGCTAGCTTCTGAAATTTTCCTGAGCAGGCACTGCTCTCTTCCTATTTGTATTTCTAGTGTCTAATAGGGTATGGAAATATAATAGGCATTTGATAAATGTATGCTGAGATTCATGATGTTAATGATTTAAGGTCACTCAGTCAGTGATAACGCTGATTCCTAAGGCTGATTCCATGATTTTTCCTTCTGGATCTCCTGTTCTTAGATATTTTACACCTATATTTGTATATATATGTGTCAGTATGTTTGGGCGACTCCTTAACTCACTGTTAAATGGAAAGAAACAGTCTGATCCAAATATTGGGGTACCTAAACGTTGGTAGGTATAGAATACAATCTCTCAAATACTCTAGTATTTTGCAAAATACTTTTCCATCAACCTCTGTATGATAAACAGACTTTTGTTGGATAGAAGTTAGTACTATTTTTGTGAGATGAATTAAGCGATAATCTATTAATGAAGAGATTAAAAGCTTTTTTTTTTTTTAATTTCTAACCTTGCTAAAGGAACTCAGTCTTGGTCTCTAGATGCTTGTGTGGTTTTTCCTCACTGCTCTCAAAGTAGCATTCTCAAAGTAGGTTTATCAATACCTACTACTGATGTGTTGTCTTTTACCTTTTTTCCTGCCTTGGGGGATCATCATAATTGGGAGCTCATCACAATTGACCACTTTTGGTTTCATGAATCAGGATTTTCTTCTAGCTCGGGCTCATGTTTATTTGGTTTTATAATTCTCTATTAATTTGCTTCCTAGAACTGTGATTTATTACTCATCCAATTGCTTTCTATTATAATCGATTCATGTTGATTATAGTAAATTTCCTTTCTTTTTCTGAACCTGAAATCATCCACTTTACCTTTCAAAATGGGACTAGTAAATAGTTCTGTGCGAATGAAGGTTTTCAAGGAAATAGACCATCTGAATCATCTCTCCCCTTCTTGGAAAGATGGAGGCACTCAAGTCAGGGAATGGGAGAGGTGATCTCACCAGTCCCCTGTCACAGGTCTTCCTGATGTGCAAACGGTCCCTGTTATTAGAGAAAACTCAGCTGCTCACGTCTCCTTTCGGTTTATTTGAAACTTCAAGTCTCTCCCGTGTCATAGGACTTCTTTCCATTCCCCATTAAATTTGTCATCTAGGAATTTTACTTGTTTTTTCAGAGGCAAGTTTTAAAAGAAAAGACGGTTGTCATAGTGAGCAAAAAGCGAGTGTTCCTGGGTCATTTAAGTGGGATTAAAATACGCCAGAGCCGTGGCGACAGGAATATCAGATATGAAGTGCTTTGTCTCTGGACTCTCCAAACAGCTAATTAAAAAAAAGAAAGAACTTGTTTTCTATTCCAGTGGATAGCTTTTTAATGGCGTTTGCTGTTCAATCTCCCAACAGCTTTACGTTTCTGCTTCTCAGTCAGAAGGGAGTTGGGTTGGCTTATTGAAAATGCGTCAGTGGAACGCGAGTGTATACATACATTTTGTATGAACTATTTAACCATTTATTATAAGTTTAATGTAACACACTTGGTGTGGACGTTTCGTTTTTCCTTCAGAACATTTGAAAACACTGCTTACAATGTGAATGTTGTTTTCATTTAGACTAAGGAATTAAAATGTGAAATACTGATTTTGTGATTATACCAGTCAAGTTATAAGAGGGGAGCCATGGAGAGAACTTGGGGCTCCTGGCTTTCGGTGTAGTGCCCACAGGAAGTGAGAGGGAACCTTCTCAGAGGTCCTGGTAGGTACCACGTTGGACTAATGACGCCACTTAAGCCTAAGGATGATTTCAACATCATGATTCTGTGTGAGCTTTCCTAATAGATTCCATTTTGATATTTGTAATTTCAGAGCAATAAACTAGAGGAGAAAAAAAGACTCCAAGAAAACCTCAGAAGAGAAACATTTAGACACCATCAGCAACAGTAAGTTTGTGCTTCAGACAGAACTTTGTACTGCACGGGCATACTGTTCCTTCTGCTTTTAAATTCCAGGTGAGGGTAACTTTCAAAACATCTGGTATTGGATTATTGTCTGGTATGTTAATTATGTAATCGAACTCTGTCATCATGTAAGTGAGGTTCTAAGGTTGGAGACATCTATGCTCACAAGAGTGTTGATTAGTAGTCAGTGGATTAGAAATAATAATGCTAACTTTGAAGACTTCTTCATTATAAATAACTTGGAGGGCTTGATTCTTTGGTGATGCAGGGCGCTTCTGATTATCTTGACTTCCAAAACACTGGCATAAGGAAGGGGGTGTTTGAAAAGAAGTACCCAGGCAGAATCTAAACTAACTAGGGATTTATCTGGTAATCTGAGGACTATTACACACGTGTATTTTTATAGACAAAA